TTGGAAAACTGATGCCAGTGACTGTCTTTGGCAAACAGAGAAACAGTGAATGAAGAAATTTTCTCTTGTCCTAAACTTGGCTATTACAAATAATAAGTGTTTGAATAGTTAAGGAGTTGTGACAACCTGCATTTTGCAGCATGGTTTCTGGGACTCAGGGGGAAAACATACTCTCAAGGAATATTAATCAGCACTGAAAGTTAGTTCAGGACACATCAAATGAACCCTTAAAACGTAGCCTAGGTGACCAAATACAAGGTGTTAGGCAACAGTGAAAGGACAAATGGGAGATGAGCACAAAATAGTGGAGATTTTATGCAAAATAATTACATGCAGCATTATGGTTGGGCTTGATGATCTTAAGGGTCTTTCCCAACCTACGTGTGTCTGGGATTCTGTAAGGCTGCATGTGGGTAAGCTGCCAGCTGCTTTCACATACGGATTCCAGTGGACATGCTCGTCATGTTTAAGAGCAGTCATGCAAGGTTTGCTCACGTGGGGTAGTTGCTTTTAGTGACAATGAATGACAGAGCGCAGGTTCATTGGAGGCTTTCGTCCTTTGCTTAAAAGGGGGGAAGAAAGTTAATAGTAAAAATGAATTTTGGTGCACATTCTGCCACCTGTAACCTCTATAATTCATTAAGGTGTGACTGTGTTTGGTATGACTTGAATAGAACAGCAGTTGTTGAAATGTAGAAAACACAGCCAAGCATCTTCAGTCCTCATTGGGAATTGACGTCTGTTACTCTCTTGGCAGAATATCTTCCATCCATTAGAGCATTGCAGATACAGATCCAAAATGTAAAGGCATTTTACCTGAACGCTCAGATGTTGAGACGATAAGAAAGTTTATCCAGATGTCTAAACTATTACTGTTAGATTTACTAGAAAAATTACAGATCGAGTAGTCCAACTAGGAGATTTGGTTATTTTGAATTTAGAGCAAAATCCTCTATTGCTAGCTATTTTTACGTCCTCTTTGTTAAAGTCACTGGTCATTATTGCCCATTAATTATGGTGGGTATGGGTACACTGGAGAAATTAACCTTCTTATGTGTTTACTTATTTTCTCTTGAAGTAACATATCCACCAATCCGGACCCAATATTTCAAATTGAATGTGCAATTTTGAAATTTAGGTTTTGGGGGAAAAAAACGAAAAGATTGGTTTAAAGTTGCGCGTAATAGTTGAGTTTGATTTATTAGAAGCCCTCTAGATCTGTATAATTATCTGGTGGGAAGCTGATTTGGTGTGACTTACCGTCCAGAGATCCTGAAGTGACAGCCTGAACTGCTCCTTTATCTTTGGAGAGAAGAGACTTTACCCATTAGTAACGGATTGCTGGATATATTATTTTAGAGAAAAAAAAAGAAAAAAGCAGGTAAGATTTTTTTTTTTCCCCTCCTCTTCTACTATTTCCTGTTTACTGCAAAGGCATGCTATGTCATCTTTGATCTGTCAGCTGTTGATTATTTGGTGACATGGTCAGGTAGTCTCAAAGTACACAGTATCCGTATGTAATCATTTCTGCAAATATTTGTAATGTAGTTGTAGACTAGTAATAGACTGTCTGGAAAAAGATAATTTCTAGTTCCAAGTTGCAGATATTGAGGATTTAAGGATGTTGGTTTGGGTATTTTGGAAGTAAAATTTGGATAGAGCAAGAAAAATACCTGGTAGCTGCTGTAGATAATCCATGTAGAGTATCTGTGATTATTTTCTTTGTATATGACTGGAAAAAAGGCAATTTTTGACATCATGAGTCAAACTGCAGTTTATCATAAAACAATGTTTCCCATCTGACAAGAAGTACAATTGTGTTTTAAAAAGTTTTAGAAATAGGCCTGACACAAAGTTTGTGCTTTTTTGCAGAAGGTACATGTAATAAACATGGAGTATGGTAATGCATGCACTGTACCAAGACTTTAGGTTATTTTTGACCTCTATCAGGCATTGGTAAAGCTGATATTTTATTTTCTCAGTGTGACTGAACTTCAGGGTATGGGGTTTTTCGAGCTAATTTTTCTTTTTTACTGAAAGTATTTGTATAATCAGAAAGAGCTGGAATCTGAAGGCAAGAGCACATTAGTGAAAGTTAATCCTAAACTTAGATTTAGTGGCTTACTTCAGTTTCATGAAGCTGCTTTTATGGGCAAAACAGCTATTTCAAGGACATAAAAACTGGAGAACAAAAAATTTCTTGAACTAATGCACACATACATTTTACATGTATCTGTTGATTGTGAGTTCAGTCAGCTTTAATACAACTAAGTGGTTTAGGTTCAAGGTCAGGTGGGATGGATCTTAGCAACCTCATCTAGTTAGTAGATGATGTCCTTACCCACAGAAGGGTTGGAACTGAATGACTTTTTAAGGTCCCTTCCAACCCAAACCATCCTAGGATTCTGTAAGTGTAAATTTGAATCTTCAGTATTAATTTGAAGTGGTGAAAATTGTGTTGAGGTTACTGTAGTGTAAATCAGGATCCAGAGTGTTCTCAATTTCACAGATGTGCTGGGATTTCTTACATTGGAAGTCACTACAATATAAGTAGACAGTATTAGTGTTGTTTGATCGTGGGAAATTACAGGGCAAGGTAAAAAGGCATACAAAATTTTCTTTAACTCCCTCTAAGTATTTTTTCACCCCCTTACAAAAAAAGTGGAAAACAACCTTCTGTTTTTTTCTTTTATTGTCTTGCAATCTGTGTTCATATTTTTAGTCCTGTAGCAAGTATTAAGTTTTTTGGGACAGCACATTTCTTTCTTTTCATGGGCACTGTATTTTATGATTATCATGGAGAACTATTTTCTAGGTTGAGGCAGAAATATACTTTTCAATTCTGCATCCAGAATTTTGTTGGAAACCAACACAGTTGGGTTTTAGGGACAATAAAAATGGGACGTGGAGTTTTTACAGCCATTTTCTTGCTTCCCAATCAAATGTGCAAAATTGAGGGAGGTTACTGTAATCTTGCAGATTCATCCAGAGATGATTTAGCACTATGTAAATGTTTGCAGCATTACTTATTCCCAAATTCCTATTGGAGCTGCCTCATCAGTTTGCTGTGCAGGGAAATGCTAGAGAAGGGAGACACAGGTGAAATAAGGGAAGGGAAGGGAGGAGCAGAACAGATGTGGAAGGAGAAGAACTTTCCAATGGTTTAGAGTGGTGATGGGTTTTTTGCTGGTGGCTGATCAAGTCATTTGCCCCACTGCTGCTGTCTGGATCAGAAGAAAAATCAGTCATATGGATACACTTAAAATCACTTTGCTATTACCCTTGTAAGCTCAGAGCACAAGAAAAAAGATTTGTCCCTCCCTCTCTCAAATTTAAATACTTATTTTGCAAATGAAATAATTGTAAATATAACCCAAATCCTTACAAAAAAATACCATTAATTATTGTAGGCAGTACTAGCTTAGTTGCAACTATTTTTCAGTTTCTGTGTTTCTGCTTAATCATTGGTGGATCTTTCCTTATTTTTCTATTTGAGAAAGAGAGGACATTTTAAATAAGAACTTCCTTAAATGCTTCTGAAGTAATAGTAGAATCCTAAAATAAATTTATAAATAACTGTTAATACTACTTTCAATCACTGAAGTTAAAGTTTCAGACAGAAGTGTAAGCCAGCTGTTCATTGACTTTGTGCAGCATTTACAAAGAGCACTGAGCTGTTTCCAAATCTAATGTGGGTAGGGATGTTTTTTTTTACTTCTACCTTGTCACAAGAAAGGAGGATGTTCAAATGCAGAAAACTGGAGAGGTGTTGAGAAACACAGAATAACAGTGCAGTATTTTGAAAAAAAAAGGCAGTGTTGGCTTATGAAAAGCAAAGTTCTTCAGAAGCATTTATTTTCTGTAGAAAGAGTTTGCCATTGAATTGTTTGAGATTGGTTTTATGCTATACAATATTTTAGGGTATAATATAGCATTGGAAAATATCATACAATGGAATAATTATTGGGAGTTAAAACTTTCAATCAAATTTACTTCAGAATATGTTTCTTTCTGTTTTTTAAGATTTGCATGGTCATTAAGAATTTATCTTCCCTTTAATGTATTGGAAGTTGAGCCAGAAAAATCAAACAAAGGTCTGTCAAACTCCTGTGCACAAGCACCTGATGCAGTTTTCTGGGTTTTTTTCTCACTAGTGTGTAGTTGGTGGGTGCAATGCCAGCTTTGCATCTCAGGGAGGACTTGCCCGTCATGTGCCCACACACTTCAGCCAGCAGAACTCTTCAAAAGTTGCCAGCCAGCCAAAGGCCAAAGAGGAATCTCCATCTAAAGCTGGAATGAATAAAAGAAGGAAATTAAAGAACAAGAGACGGCGATCACTACGTAAGTATTTCCAGAAGTTCTTGAAAGTTTCATCTCGGATTGGGAGTTCCTCTCCAATGCGGTGTTTTCTCTGCATGTGCCGATCTGGCGGGATTGGCATTCCTTGTGGTGAGAAGAAAACAGTTCCAGATTCTGTTTGTGTTCCTTCTTAGGGTAAATATCTTCATGTTCAGGAGAAAAGATCAGTTTCCTATGAGAAACAGTTGGAGTTCACAGTTGAAAAAGCTTTTCGTTTCAGAACCACTCTCTGTTTACTGTTAATGTTGGAAAATGTTCTGTTTAGTGTTGATGAGATCTGAAGTTCTGTACTGCAGACAGAGCTTGCAGATTCATATAAATTAGAGATAAATGCATGTTATATAAGCTCTTTTTTGAGCACAACATTTCATTATGTTAATGACAGTTTTATGAGCATAACCAAGATCTAATTTTGGGCAGAATTGACTTGCTATGTTTTTATAATCTGTCTCCACGCAGTTGATGTTCATTAATTTTATATGAACCAATGTGCTGAGAGGTGTAATTTGTCATTTAAAGTGAGAACTGTTACCTATAGCAATAATCACCTAGTACCTTTTCTAGTCCATTTAGATCTAGATGTTTGATTGTTGAGTTGTCTTAATATTAGACTAATAACAGTGTCCCATTTATATAGAGGTTCTAATGTACAAGAATGGTTAGGAAAGACTAGGCAATTGTTAAAATATTTCACTTTGTTTTATAATTACTTTCGATGCAACTCTCCAGTACCAGACTATGATACCTGCATCTTGGAGATGTAAAAACCATTTAGATTTTTTTCCTGCTGGTATGTCAGCAGCTGAAGAAAAAACTTCATGAATTTTTATTTTTGTGTAAAGTCCATCTTAGAGTATTGAAGAGTAGCACAAGATGCCTTTTTTATGCACCTGTTAAATCTCATACTGTCTACAGTGTTACTTTGCCAGAAGTTCTCTGTGGCAGAACACTTAACTATATTCATCTTTCTCTTCCTGTGAAGAAACATAATTACCAGTTATTCATGTAGTACTGCAACAATGGATGTACATGCTAGTTCTCTTAAATGATACTCTTTATCACATGATTGGGATTTATTCTTATCTTAATACCTCACCTTTGTCTTAAGGAACTGTAATTTATGAAGCAATGGTCATGTTTCTGCCTTGAGTGCAGAGAAAACTGTCCTGGAAAGTTACAGTGTCACCTGGAGTTCTGAAAAGTTTATTTCCTGAGCCAATATTAACTTTTCTTCTGCATTTTTTTTTCTTTTTGAGAGGGGAATACCTTTGTATTCTTAAAATATATATGAGCAAATTGTATTATGAAACACATCCTAAAAGTATAGACTTTGAGAATTCCTCTAATTTTGATTTAACATTCAAAGAAATTAGCAAACTGTTCTTTTCAGAATCTGTTTTTAAAAGGCTTTCCCTTTCGCTCTTAACAATCTGTGTAAATGAGAAGGTTCAAGAAGGGAGGACTGGTCAGTGAAGGGTTATGGGCTCACTTGGATGTAATGAGAGAGGCACCTAGTTGGGATAGTTGCAGGTTCCTAAAGGAATATTGTGATTTGTTGACTGTGTTACTCAAACAAAATATACATCTAAGACTGGTGACTTCAAAATTTTCACTTGCAGAGGTTCCTGAGTTGCATCTAGGCTTGTTTCTCCATATTGATTTTGTTAGGTAGCTGATTTAATGCATCTTAATTTAGTTTTTTCCCCCAATAGATGCAGAAGTAGTTTTTCAAGTTGGCATTTTATTAGTAATTGATGAACATTATCGACTTACTGGTTTCAAGGCAGAGCTTCATAATTAAAACTTCAAATTACCCACTAAGATGTTGTAGTTGTAATACGAATTTACTGCAGAATTCTTGAATGAATCCATGGCAAAAAATGTAGGTGGTAAATATTAGTAGGGATTGTTAAAGATTGGACTGTAGTATTTGAATGGTCTGCTTTCTCAATCAAGTGCTGCACAGGAAGAAAAATGACAGCTGCTTGAGCAATTTCTTGTCTTCTTGCCTCTTGAGACAAACGCAATGCTGGCTGTAGACTTTTGCCTTAAGGCAGAAATCATCTCTAACTGAGTTGGGAACTGACTATTGTAATGTATTTCTCCAGAGGGTTTGTGACCCAGAAATGTATCCAAAGTTGATGGCATTTTCTGAAAATGCGAAGTATTGGCAGCTTTTCTTTAAAACTTCGTGTGGATTATTGTTGATGAGGTGAACGAGACAAAGGGCTGATAAAGTTGTGCTTGTCTTTTTGTTTCTTAGCTTAGTTTTAGTTCAAGAATAAAGTGTGTAGGTTTTTGTGTTTTGTCTTTACAAGGGGAATGGGGGAAGGCAAAGACCCTTATCTAAGTAGTCAAAGTAACACAATAACAGCATTTAAGTATTTTCAGTCTAGAGTATATAAAGCTAAGAACATGGATTTATATTTAGATGTTTTTAAGTGCCTAAAAGGAGGGGTGTTTAACGTAAGTACAGCTTGTCTGCAGGTTGGGTTATAAGAAGATGATGCCATGGATGTAAAACAGGATGTCATTTGATAGTGCACAGTCTTTAACAATCACTTGTAGGTAATAATTTGACAGAAAATTACAGTTTTGCACCACAGAACAATTTGTGTCCTGAAGAAATGCTGTCAGCGTGTTCTTTCTACCTCCTCATGATTTGATTAGGCCCTGGATTTTTACAAGGCGTAAGTGGCTTACTAAATATTTATTGGCCATCAGTTGCCAATATGTGCTGCTATTGAAGCATCTTCATGTATAAATTCTTAATAGTTTAAATACAGCAGATTTATACATTTGCTTCCTCTAGTTTATATCTGAAAGTTAACACCTTTCTGAGACAATGTATAAATGAAAAAAGGAGACTTTACTGTCACTATATGTGATGGAAATACGTTCCATAAAGAGAATTCTTACTGTTACTTGATTTATTTTTTCTTTAACATCTTGCCATTCTTAAACTCTTTTGCTTTTCTTTTGTCCTGACTGTAAACGATACATGTTCTTAGAGGTTTGGAAATTAGCACTTTTATGATAAAAGCATGTTTTACTGGAGACACCCTTGTAACTATTTAGATTAGTGATGCTGTAGAGATCTGATTTGTCTTAGAAATTTTCATGTTTTTAGAATAATTCAGTCAGTAGATTGCTTTCTCATCTGGATAGACTTATACATGTTCCCTGATCTGTGCAGTCTGGTGATATTTGGAGATATAGAACCAAATATATTACAAGTATGTATGTGTAAAATAGGTCACAGTGGTGCTATTCTGAAGCTGCCTTGATGAATGCAGCACTGTCACTTGCTTTTCCATTAGCAAAGGTGACACTATAGTTAATAAAAAGCGTAATACAGTTCTCTGGAGGAATGTAAGAGACATAAAGAACGTTATTGTTCATAGAATTTACAGTAAGACTACCTTAGTTACATAATGCTTGCATTTTCATTTAGTAGATTCCTGTTATGATGATGTTAATTTATTTGACTTAAGTAATTGATGTGTACTTGGAGCTTGGATTAAACAGGAAGGGAGACACTTAAATCTATTCCCTCATAATTATTTTCAGAGTAAAGATATGTAGAAGGCACGGCACTATTGCTCAGTAAGGAGCAATATACAGTAGGAGTAAATAAAACTATTCAGGTGCCTTGGAAAAATTGTGTCCTTCCTCTGCATCTGTTGAATGTTATCCAGTGGTAAATCCTGAAGAAAGTTGTTGTATGAAGCAAAAAGAAAAAAATTGGTTGTTTTTTATTTTTTTAGCTTCTTTCCATCTTCCCTTCCTTCCTCCCTCGTATTTATTTATAAAATATTTATATGCTTGCATCACTGACCACCTGCAGCATGAGCTGCAGTTCCACATCACCACTTACAGCAAGAAAACATTTCAGTGAGATGATTGCCTAATTGGCAGTATCCAACTGAGATGGAGTAGGGACAGAACATAATGTACAGATGAATGCTTAACAACAGTGAGTCCCAAGGGTGTAGCAAATGTTAGCTTTAAGTGGAATTTGTAGTTCATTTTGAAATAATGGATAGATGAATATAGAAGTTGTTTTAAATTAAGGCAGCAGAACTCTGAATCGCTGTGCAGATTTCAGGGTAATATGTATTTGATAATGTAATACGAACTCCGATTCTTAGTTTTAATTTCAGTGTGTTATTTAGCAACTATTACTGTCAAGGCTTAAAAAATGGGAATTCTACTAATGTAATTTTACTACTGTATTGTGTGGTATATTTTAAATTTTTTTGAAAATTATTTTTAACACTACGCAAACATGTGCCCAGTAGCCCTTATTTTTTAGTTAAAGTACTTTTAGTGTAGATTTGATAGACCTTCTTTACAATCCAAATCAAAATCCTTTTTAGTGTTCAAGAAAATCTTAACTATATAAGTCCTTTTCTAAAAGGAAAGGTCCTTATTAGTTTTTGCTGGTTATAGACTAGTTGTAAAAAATATCGTATGGGTGTTAATTGTACTTTACTCGTTATAAGTTGAAGTGTAGTGTGGGATGCAGTTGGGTCTTCTTGACTAGAAAATGTTTACTGATTGTCAAAGAACGTGGAGTGACAACTTGTACATAGAAAGAAACGTGTAGTAGTGTGGAGTTTTTCACCTGACTATTTAGCGTTACTGAAACCAAAATGAAATGAGCCGAGTATAGTTACATTTTCCAGAATAGCTGTTTGATCCGCAGGGAGTGTGTTTTGACCAAACCTGACTTCTCTTGGAGTAATTTCTTCCTCTCAGTTAATGTTTACAACTCTCTGACAAGGTAGTGCTGCTGCCATAATGGTAAATGATTTACTAATGACACTTCAGACTTGTTTACATGCTTGAGTGTGTTTGTGTGCTTTGAATGTGTTGAACACTAAGGATCTCCTTTCCTTTTTTTTTCCAGCAAGACCTCATGACTTCTTTGATGCACAAACACTGGATGCTATAAGACATCGAGCCATCTGCTTTAATCTCTCAGCACATATAGAAAGTTTAGGAAAAGGCCACAGTGTTGTATTTCATAGTACTGTAAGTATACATATTATGCATTCCATTTGTTTACCTGTGTGTCTGAAAAATCTAATCCTTCAGAAAGATTTCTGGTTTCCTCTTGTTGCTGTAGGCACTTAATCAGAAATAAGTAATAGTGGGTATTTTACTTTGTTGATTTGTCCATTGCTGTTAGTAAACTAACTTTTAAAAATAGTGTTGGTAGTTGTTCTAGCTCACAGACTGAAAGGCTCGCTGTCTGATACGCTTGGGGAAATATCTAACAGTAAGTATGTGTTGTAGAAAAATGTGGTTCTATCTTCTAAATAAGAAAGCAGTTCAGATGGCATTTCCTTAGTTGTGAGTGACAGTGCTAATTTATCACAAGCAATATTTTGACTGTAATTGAATATTTAAAGATGTTGATCTGAAATTTGTGTTTATTTCCTTGTTTTTCCCCAGTTTAAAACATGCAGTCCTGAATAAATGTCTTGTACCCATTTTTTTTCTTTTAATAAACTTACACCAGAATGTCAGTGGTGATGCTAGAAGGAGGCAAGTGCCAGGTGAGGAACTGGCCTTTAGTCCTGTTTCCATATCCTGTTTTGTGAATTTTTTTGGTATTTGGATAGGAAAGACATTAATTTAGAGAAGCTCAAAGCATAGAAAAAGTAGTGAATTGGGTATAGGGGTCAGAAGTTTAAAATCTGTATTACCTCAGATTTTGTTAACCAAACCGGGAGATATGGGCACATAAAAGGCAGAGACTCAGCTGAAGAAAAGAGGTAAGAGATGGGACAAAATGAGAAGGGATAGTTTTTAAATTGGCAGACTAATGCAAGATGAACTGCAGTCCGGGGAAGGAATGCTGACTGACATGTCTTCAGCTACAGCTTAATCTTAACATGATTCAAAGTCTGGAACTCTGTCTCTTTCCATAAATAAAAGATGATTTTTGTATGCATGAAACTTATTTCATACTGTTCTGTGAGACTGATGCTTGTTATAAATATCTGTGGCCTGTATTCGAAATTTTTTCCAAATGATTACTCCTGAACTTTATGTGCCCTGAGCTGCAGCTGCAAGTGGAGATTTGCAGGTGGTTTAGCTGTTACTGTATTTAAATCTCTTTCTAGTGTTCTGGGCAAATGTGGATCTTACAGTGCTGTAATCTGAAAGGTTATCCAGACAGACTTCTCAAGTTGTGGAAGCTCAGCTCTGTCTTTTGGAATAATTCATAAGGAGGTGGAGTTAGAAGGAGGATTGTGCTCTAAAACTGTCTCAGATGGACTTGAAGGAAGTGCTGAAAATCCTTTCAGCTTATCCACACGTGCGTCACTCGAGATGGTGGGAGGTTGATTAGATCTGAAATTGCTTAGACCTCAACTGTGGGACAGGTTGTACCAGTGGGAGAACTACTCCAGGATCCCAGCCCTGCTCTGCACTGTGCTGCCCTCTTTTGCTGCTGCAGTTGTGTGGGTTTGTGCTGGGCATCAGCTTTATTGATGAGACTCAGCCTAAAACTGGTGTTAAAAAGAAAAGGCAGACTAGAAGCAGTCCTGGGGATGTGCACTGTTACACTGAGCACATGACAGCTCAGATGCAATCACATTTTGCATCACTTTTCAGGCATTAGGGCACTGAATTTGAGTGGTGGCTGGATAAATAGCATAGTAAGTCTGTGTAGCCTGCCTTAAGATGAAGAAGAAACGTGTAACTAATGGACATTAATTTGAAAGGTGAAAAATATAAAGATAAAATTGCCTTGCTGTCTGAAAAGGGACAGGAATGATTTATTTTTTTATACATTGTATTTTACAGGACATATCATAATATAAAGAATTTCTAAGCAACTGCTGTAGATACCCTTCATGTCCTATGAACAGGCACATCCTTTTATTTATATATACTTTTTAACCCATCCTTTTCTTTTTGTAGATATAGAAAGCTTTAGAATGCAGTCATTAATAAAACCTTTTTGAAGAAATGTGTTTGCCATCCAGAGTTCTCCTTTGACTTGATTATGATTTTTTTTCCTTGTCTGTTTTTTTATTGGAGTCAAGTTTTTGTACTTTAATTCTCTGAATTCTTAGATGGAAAAAGTCAAACATTTCTATTTAATCTAAAGGCCAGATAATACATTGATTGAAAAATGCAGCTTATAGGTTACCCTGTTGTGCCAGACCCACCTTTGAAATGGCTTGAATTAATTCTGTAAAATATTTGAATACTAAACTATTCTCTGGGTTTAGATTTTTTTATCTATTTCAGTTCGGTGATCTCATGTATTGAAACACATGTCTTGAAATCTTAAAACTTTGTAAGATTTACTTTGTAAAACTAAGTAAATGGAGTGAGATGCATAGCAATTTATAGGGTGAAATTGTTTTCTTTTTCCAGAAGAGGTCAGCAGAACTCCATTTCTAGTCTGAGACAACTTTGGTGCGCGTTTCCTTTAAATTTCCATTTTGTTCTGGGACAGTGCATGAAATGCAGAGAATGTAGGGACAACGTTTTCAGATAAAGCTGCAGCGAGCATTTATTTATCTCCCAGCTGAAGTGTTTTTTTAAGTGGAAAATCTAAATGGACTTAAGTTCTTTGCAGAGCAATTTCAAGTCTTCAGAACATATTTATTGCAGGCTTACTTATATTGCTCCCATTTCTGCTGTAACTTCTGCAGACTTGACCATAAATCTCAGATGATGAACATCAAAACAGCAAATAATTTTTTGGACGTCTTTCTTGCCAAAATTATTGCAATTTTGTGTTTGTTTGCATCATGAATGTGTTTTTGTTTTATGTTGGCTGAAGGTGGGAGTCTAACCTCAGGGTCCCGCACTTCAAAACTTAATTCTCTAGAGAGTATCTTATGTGCTGGGCTACTGTGAACTGGTATGAGAAACCATGAGAAAAGAGTTCTTCTTGTCTGTGACCTAGTGATATGTACCCTTTATATAGAAATAATACAACTTTCAGCAAGTAAAACAATTTTCCTTTTATAAATGTGCAGTTGAGCATGAAGATCAATGGTTTTTTGAGCAAAAAAATAGGGAATTTGGTTTTAATTATGATTTTTGTAATTATTGCAGGTAATAGCTAAAAGAAAAGAAGATTCTGGAAAAATAAAACTCTTGCTTCATTGGACACCTGAAGACATGTGAGTATATTGCTGGTGATATGCTACAGGATTTAAATGGGGAAGGATTTACAGCAGGGTAAATGAATTATCTGTCACTATATTATTTTGTGCTGTTTGTTGAGTATTTAAAGTTAATATTTTAAAACTGCTTTTCAAAAAATAATTTAACAATTTTAAAATTACTAAGCAGTGTTTAATTGATTTTTTAAATTTAATTTTCAAGTCTTTGGGCTCTAATACCAGTTCAGGTAAATTTGCATCTCTATTTTTAATGCATTTTGTCACTATGCACTATGCAGCCATGTACATAAGAAAACTTACCGCTGAGGCAACTTTGCTTTACCCACTGATTCATCATGATCCTAAAAATACTTTCAGGTACTAAAAAATGTGCAGTTATCCAGTGTAACAGTAGAACTCCACGACTCTTTACCTGGGTGTCACAATTCAGCACTATAATAACCACAGCTGACTCTTTAAGGTGTCCATGTCATATTGCTGCCTCCTTGGATTCTCCCACTGAAGCTTGGAATACTTTCCCAGCACGTTTGGCTGCTCTTTTTTCTCTTTCTTTTCAAAGTTTTGCTTGTTCCAAATGAGTAGCAGGACGAAGGTACTGCCCTCGGGTTGGCTTGGGACATATGAAGTAGTACATACCCTCTAGGAATAGTTATCTACTTTGAAATTGCTGAGTTCTCATCTTTCTTTTAACACTTAAAGAACAAAGAGAGCCTTTTGATTTGGTGATGCTTTCAGGTGATTGAGTGGGATGGTGATAAAGCTGTAGCAAAACAGAAATTTACCTTTGCTTTGGTGGTTTAAATCACTCACCTTTGTAGTGTCCCAAATCAGTTGTGTTCAGTAGCGTGAACTTGGCAGTGTGAGTCAATTATAACTTTTATTTGTAGAGAACTGGAGTTGCTGATAAATCATATGCAGCAATGGTTGACATTTTGGTGGAGTTTTGAAGTGTCTGCACCTTTTGTTGCTCACTGCAGCACTTGTAGACTTCAAGTTTCAGTTCAGCTTGGGAGACAATAACTAAAATATTCTAGTAAAAAAAGCAAATTTTTGGTTCCTGTTAGGGCAGCTGGCAGAACTATGTGTAACAGCATTCTGAAATTATTCTTTTTAAAATGTTACAGACAAAACAGTTAATTACATTTTAAAATAAACATAAAAAAGTGTAATAACACAGGGAACATGAAAAAATAAATTAAAATATCAGGTTTTAAATTTTAATGCAGTCAGATGAGTTTTTTGCTCATGCAGATGAATTCAGTATTAAGAATATCTGCATTGGAGAAGACAAGTTGTTCAGGAAGGTTAAGACATCCCTGATAGAATGTAGATGTGGTTGGTGAGATCAAAGCAATAATGTTTCACTCTTGCATCTTGGTTGGGGCAGGGGGAGGGTATATTTCATCACTAAATGATGTAGTGTTAGATTACTGAGTGTACAGTAGATTGAAATTCATCTTGATTATTACGGTTGAGAACAGCAGATGCCAAGGTGTCCTGGCATGTGCCATCAGTCTGTTTTTGTACAGTCCGTGCACTCTCACTGTAGGGATGTTCAGTGCATCGTGGGGAGGACTTTTAATCAGCCTGAATTTCAGATGGATCTGGTAGTAATGATTTAACTTCTTCTACTGAGCAACTGTTGAAGTGCTCAAGGTTATCTGTACATCAAGCATTTTTTTCAGGAAAAATAAAAGCTAGTCTTTAACCTGTTTCCTATTAAGAAGGAAATAACTTTTAATTTCTTGTATTTTTTTTAGGGCAGGAATTTATTCTTGGTGTCAGTACTTCTGAGCTTACTGAGTTGCTGTCTTTATGTATATTTCAAGTAGTCTTTGCATGTGAAAGGTTTTTTTTAATTTGCTGTTTGTGTCATTTTGCATCTTCAGCAAAATATAGTTTCTACTGAAAACACCTCCCAGATGTTGTTTGTCCAAAAACTGATTTTGGTGTTATTTGAAAAAGTCTTGTGATGTTTTTTCCATCTTTTATGATCCATAAGCCTTAGTGGATATATGGATTGCCTCCTGGATTGTTCCTCCCCTACTTTTTTTCTTTTTCTTTTTTTTTCTGCTGCCTTTATCTGAAAAGTTTGTTGAAGAAACTCCTTTTCCTGCTGGGATAGAAATTCTTGGTTTCATTTCATGTTTTGAATAGCTTGACCAGAAAATTGAATTTGAATACCACTCACTTCAAAATGAAGGTTCAGTGAAATAAATTGCAAAAGCCTGTAGAACTGCATTTATCTTTGGTCAGAGAAAGGGGCTGTAACATTTAGCTAGTTTCGAGTGCTGGGTTTCTCAATTCAAAATTTATTTCAAATTAGTTAGATCTTAATTATGAACATAAACTTTTCCCCCAACCTATAATTAATCTTTGGCTTCTAGGACATGTAAAAAAATTAAGAAGCCCACCAAAACCCCAAAGAAAACAAAACACCGGAAACCCCAAATGGCTTTGTGGGCTAAAAAGAATCACCGGGGGTTGTTGGGATTTGTTTGGGGATTTTTTGTTTGTGGGGTTTATTTTGGGAGTTGCCTTTTTTTTTTTTTTTTTGTCTCTTCTTCTTTTTTCCAGTAGTGGAAACAAAATGGATCCCTTGTTTGTTCTGCACAGCTCTGTCAAGAAGGCAGGTTTTCAGTAAGACAGTGATGAGCTCTGCAAGCCCAGTGCTTCTTAATAACATGTCACCTGAAAGCTTCAACAGGGCCTTAAGAGCCCAATGTACCTCTAATAAAAGAAGCAGTAATGCAATAAGCCACTCAGAATTAGGCATGTTTGGTCTCAAGTAATTAAAGTGCAAAATGGAGATGATTGTGTGTTATCTCCAGTCCTCTTCACAAGTTTCACTGCAAGTGGCACTGAAGCAACAATTCATTTTAATGTGTAAAGACCAATTTTTATTTCATCTCACAATGAGAAGTGTTATATAGCCAAAATATTTTGTGGTGATTGCCTGGATTACCTCAGAAGATAGTAAAATGATTAACTTCAGGAAAGCTGGAGGATTTTGAGGTTGAAACCTTTGAACTTGGAGCAAGTAAATTTAGTGTAACATGAAGCTTAGTGTCTGCTTTATATTCTGTCCTTTACTTATTTTAACAGTATCGAGGAATTTTACGCCCAGTAAAATGAAATATTTTTGAAGATGTGGTTGGTTTTTCCTGCTACCCATTATCACATTAAATTGTTAAAATGGAATAGATAGTGCCATTATCATTGTGTGCATATTTAGCATTCTTGAATAATGTAAATTATAATCTCAGTTTCACACTAAGAACTTAAACTTTGAAGTGTAACGTGTAAAGATTGGCTGTGTTTCCTCGTTCCAGTGACGATGCTTTTTAACCAGGGAAATGTGGAGATTGCTTTAAAAGAAACTTAATATGTACTAGTTTACCACATAATTTTATGGTAAGAAAAGCAGTTGATCTTTTTTGAATATTTTTATTTTATTTATTTATTCATAGTCTGCCTGATGTGTGGGTAAATGAAAGTGAACGACATCAGTTAAAAACTAAAGTAGTTCATTTATCAAAACTACCAAAAGATACTGCCTTGCTTCTGGACCCAAACATATACAGGTAACATCCTAATTTTGAAACTTTCTTTCCTTGAATGTAATCTTAAACCTCACTTAACTTTTTGACGTTTTAAAATCAGGATTCCTAAATGTACTATACACCAGACCAGGGAGCCTTGATAATGTAAACGTCCAGGAGTTAAGTTCTGAGGTCTTAAGTTATTTCAGAATTACTTCTTGAACTGAACTCTAGTTACTGAGAAACGGGGAATGTGTGTATTTACCAAGTGTATTTTACTTTTTTGTGCTTGGTGTACAGAAATTCTAGTAAAGGAGGTACATACAGTGGAATCCTGAAAGATCCCTTCTGTTAAGATCACATACTGGTTTGTATACCAATTTTTTTAAAGTCCAAATTTATCTTTCCATATTTTATATTCAACTGTAATACATGCAGTATTACCTTGAAATCTGTACTTGTATTCAAGTACTGTTATTTTTAATACAAGATTCTTTATATGGGGACAGAAGGGGACAGTACATGTTACTTGCCTTTAAGCTACTTTCACATTTGTGGTTTTGGGCCTTCAGATTGGCTTCTAATCCATCTGGTTTCTAATAATTTCCTGATTTTTCCCTCCCCCTCTTTATTAGTGCACTCACAGAATTGTCAGTACCCACAGTTCTGTGTGTGTGTACAGTTTTTAAAGGTAATCTGAAATGCTTAATTAATTCTTAAATTTTGGATGTCCAAAGATACACATTTGTGGGCTTAAGTTAAAAATTCCCGAAAACGGGTCATGGAAAATAAAAAGTTTTTTCTGCCATAACAGAAGTTCAGTGTTCTGATGTTTTTTTTTCCTTAATATCCAGTGACTGAGTGTCTAAAGGAGTAAATAGAACACTAATCTGAGGTCTTTGTAATGCAATAAGCCTTTCAGTTCACCTTTAATATTCAGTCTATTTCACTAATCAAATTAATGAAAGCTTGGTTTACAATTTGAAAATAAATCATACTATATCTGCTATTCTTGTAAATGTAAGTATTTAAAATACTTACCTTAGTACATAAATTATTGACATAGATCATAAAAATGTTATGAAGAAATTGGATTGTATGTTTTAAAACTGCTTAACACAGTGACTGTTTTATAATCTAATTGAGGTGTTAATTTTTTATTGTTTACCTTTGCAGAACTTAATAGATTAGTTTACCTTGAAAAGAAAAAGATAATCTATGAAACTAAAAATGTAATGATCTCTGGGATTAAGTCCTTGAAGAAAAAATGAGCAGACCTTTCTCCCTCTTCCACGTAAAATTAAGATCCCCACACAAAGTGTTGTACTGGATTTTTAACAATATGGATCAGTGTGTTAGTGAAATGAGCTTTTGGAACTAACTGAGGGAGATGAAAGGCATAAAACTGGAAGACCAAAACTTTGCAAGCGAAAAAGATAGTTGAAGGAATTCAGTGACAGAGATTAATATCATGCTAAAATGATGACTTTAATATAAAGTTTGAAATCTTTACCTGAAATTGTATGCTGATACGGGATCATCAGAAATGGCATTCACTATTAAATTAAATGAAAGTAGATTTTATGTAGTCATGATTTCATAGTATATTCTAACTGGCTGAAATTTACATCTCAGGGTCTTAATGTAAATCTATACCCTCTTCTTTTACAGAACAATGCCCCAGAAGAGGTTGAAGAGGTAAAAACCAAGCAAGTGGGGACACCTGCAGTCTTAGTCACTGACAATGGATTTAGAAATAAAGTTGCACATTAGTCAAATCCCATCCTTTTTTTTTTTTTTTTTTTTTTTTTTTTTTTTTTTTTTTTTTTTTTTTTTTTTTTTTTTTTTTTTTTTTTTTTTTTTTTTTTTTTTTTTAGATAAATATTTATGCTTAGTGTAAACATTCTGTGAATGAAGTTGATGCTTCCGTGGAATATATATTAATATATTACTGTATATCCACATTTTCATGGAATGGTACAGTGGGAGACTGAGCAAACACTCTTCTGGCAACTTAGTGGAACAACTAAAAGGCTTTGCATGCTTGCTTCTTTAAGCTGCTTTTTTCTTTAGTGAATACAGTAGTCTATATTGATGAAAAGAAAAAGTAACCATCACCATTTACTCACAATTCCCAGGAGAACTGTTAACAACCTACTGGGCTTCTTGTCCATGTTAACTGAATATAACACGTGCCAGGCAATAGAACAGCTACCAAGGGATTATCCTCTTGCCCTCTGAGTATGGTGGATAGTAATCATTTGTCATTTGTAATCTTGTGTCCTTTTGCAGATCCCTAAAATATGTTGGATTATGATGTTTAAACAAATGTTGATGGAATGCTTGTCTTTTCCAGTCAACTCTGAATACATATAGTACGGTTTAAAGATGTTAAGAGTGTTGCAGTATGTCTGACCCCCTCTTCAGGAGTAGTGTAGTATGTTAATAAGATCTGCTTTTATGTGATCCGTATCAATGGACAGGTTTTGAGAAACCTCTGCGTAAGCAAATAGTGTTACTGGTGATTTATTTTGCTTTTTTGACCCTTTAGGATCCCCATTCACTTGTAAAGTATACTTTATTTGGCCTAATGTTTTCTAGATGTAAAGAAAATGGTATTTTTTAAAAAAAAATAATCTAGAAATTCAATCCTTTATGCACCAAAGTTGGCTTTGAAAAGGAAAGTAAAATCATTTTCTTGCTTAATAAGCAAGAAGCCGTGGATTTTTTTTAACTGACAAATAGAGATGCGTCTAACCTGTTAGTCTTTGTATGGAGACAAAAATGTTGCATATAGATAATAGGACATTGCTTGTAAATATTTCAGCAGATTTGTAATATATTTTTATATTATGAAATGTACTGTAGATGTTTTTCTAGAGGCATGAAAGTTAAAATGTATATATTACGGTAGAAATAATATTGAAGGATATTGTAATTCACTAGTGCTGCCAGAAGAATTGTTTAAAAAAAGCACCTTCCTTAACAGTAAAATAAACCTTCTTTTACATACCTAAGGGACTATATACTACTGTTAATATCTGTTGTAAGAACAAAAATACATTGAACATCCTTCCCAGAAATCTTAGAGGGATGAATAGTACCCATAATTAATTCATGGTGCTCCTTTCTAATAGTGAACACAAAATTAGTTTTTTCCTTACTGTTGGAAGGAACTAATATGTAAAATTTGTATGGATATATGCAGTCAAACTGCAGAGTTAGTCCTCCTTGTTGGGGAGGAATTTACTACAGTGAAACTATTAACCAGCAGTTTTTACACTAAATTTTTATTAAATAGATTAAAACTTAAAGTAACCCTTTGGTTGCAGAAGTGAGCATATCCTAATGTAATACAAATGCGTTCTGCATTGGTACTGACACGAGTCTTGCTTAGCTCCAGCGGGTTAAAAATGTTACTTATATACACAAAAAAATAATCTTATCAGACGATATGAAGTGCAGATTAAAAGCACCACTAATATAAGATGTTCTGGAATGGTTGTTTAATAAGGGTATTATTCATAAAATCTGTAGTGATGTGACTTTATTTTTGAAAAAAAATGCAGTGTTTTGGTTTTTTATTTTTTTGCTTAAGCACTTCACCTACTGCTTTTTCTGTACCTATAAAGTAATCCGTAATCTTTGTTTCTTTTTTTTTAATTTGTTATAAAATTGCCAAATAGAAGTGTTTCAGATATAGTTTGTATTTGTATTTTTTTAATTTTATTGCTTCATGAGTTTCTTGTAAGTCATTTATAATTGACAGATGATTGTAGACCTTGCCTGAGTATTTTTTCTAATAAAACAAAACAAACAAACCTCATTAGCTTCAAAATTGTAAGATTTCAATGAAGTTTAAATATACAACCGACACTCTTTCCCCTGTAAGTTGTAACACACGTACCTTTACAAAATGGGGAATTCGTGGATTCAAGTCATGTGTTGTTCATGTAAACTTTGACTTTTCTTGGGTTTGAGAAAACTATTATCTGGTGTTCCATGGTACAGTTTCTGGTGTGGAAGGAAAAAAATCAATTTAAATTCAAAACATCTGTGAAGAAATGGATATATTGGAATTAATTAAACTTTCCACAGCAGTGAAAAAGGTAAGTGAACTTATGACTGTTTTTCACCTTGAAGTTAGCAGCGTGGTTTGCTAAAACTGTTTATGCCTGACAGTCATCTGTATTCTGCAAATTATGGAATTACTTGGTGGTGTTTTTTTGCAAATGACAGTCATGTCTCTCCAAAAGGCTGCTGCAGTTTTTGTGTGTGTCCTTGGAGGATTTCACTGTTGCTGGAGCATCAGGTACATGGAACTAGCACAGAATCGCTTTGTTCTGAAAATAACCTTATCACTGTTATTCTTGGAAAGTGTTAATGATATAATTGGCCTCTTCCCTTTTAAGTAATTCCATATGCTTTGTTTGGGGATGTTTGGGATGTAACATACAGAGGTTTCTTCCTGTCTTTCTCAAGAACATTTTTTTTTTTTTTTAGATAGATTTTCCAAATATCTACAGATTGCATTCCCTCCCAGCTGGAGTGTTTATTTTCTTTGTAGAGAAATATCGGCTCTTTGAAAAAGTCTCGCTTTTCAGGAGCTGCAGTGCACACAGATACCTGCTTCTAAAATCATCAGTCCTTTTGGAATGTGTTGGCTTGAATTTTACAGTTTTCTGAAGCTGAATAATAGGATGTTTGAGTGAGGAGTGCTGTTTTGGGATCAGAGATCATCTCTGCCTTTTGCTAAAGTGGGTGGAAATTCTTGTCTGGGAAAACTTCCTAATGTTTGGGCACAACACACAGCTGATTGATTGATGGATACCAGATCTTACTCTGTTTACTAAAGCACTTTTATAGAGCAGAAACAGATCAGTTCTTTTCTGATACTTATATTGCATATAATTTTCTCAAGGTACTGTGGGATTTTTTCAGAATTTGGACAAATGGCCTAATAGGTAGCACTAGGTGTTTCTTGACTTCTGTAGTCCATTAAGTAATTATATCAGCAAATTCCAATTTAAATTCCACATTAATTCTGGACTAGCTTTATTTGGGAACGAATGTGTTAATTGTGTTCAAATCTAGTTTGGTTTTAATAATAGAAATTCAGGTGGTGGATTTCTGTTCGTCTCAGCTTTTCAGTGCAGCATATGAATTGATCATTGCAGAAAACTGGTCATATGTAATACTTCAGTCTGATACTGATGACTTATTCTCACTTTATGCTTTCCTGCCTTGACATTTTAAACTTGTGAATGAACCTATCATAAATATTTCTGTTGTCACGTTAATGTATGGCGAGTTAAACCGAAGAAGAAAATCATATAACAGGGAAGTTTAAAGAAGCAGCCGAATCTGTGGCTTCTTTCAGTCATTTTCTGTAAGTTGTCAGGTTGACAATCTGTGAATGGCTCCCACATGCACATGGCTCTGAATGAAAAATGACAGTTTGATCCCTAAAACAAGGTATTCTTTACAAAGCATTCCAACGACAGAAGATGGTCTTAACATCCCATGGATTTTCTCAGTCGAGTAAAGGTGCCCTTAAGATCTGTTATCCTACTGTTTACCTACTCCAAGCAGAGAGTACTCTGGTAAACTCTCTTGCTTCAACTTATAATGAGAATTTCGCATTGTGTGGTAGTGGGGGGAACCCCACCAGCACTACTGCTTTGAACAATATGTTAAAAAAAATACTGTAAAATGTCAGGAATATCCATTTGTTCCTGCATTTTTAACAAGGATTTTTTTTTTTTTTTAGTATGTATTCTTGTAATTCTGTAATGTAAATTGAGACTAAAAAAATGAATTCTGATAATATTACAGCTGTAGTCTCCTAGTGATTATAATGAGAAGAGTCAGGTATAAATACTAGAGGTGAATGTCTCAACGTGCATTTATGAGAAGAATTATAACTGTTGTAGTCTCTATTGTAATTGTTTTTTCTTAAGTAAGGATGAACCTAAATCTCACCAAAAATAAAACCTCATAGACTTGGAAGATTTAAGATTCTTCAGCTATCTAGTCTGTCTAGTCAGCTATCTGTCTGACACATAGGTGTGTCATTTCCCTTAATATAGCTGACAAACTAGAGAACCCAAGCAGATTTATATCTACTGTCAAATCCCAGGTTATCTCCCAGAGGGGGAAAAACCATGCTCATGTTTTGTGTTTAAAGTAGAGCACTGCTTCTAGGAGACAGGAGCTGTGAATTTACTTCTTCCAGATAAGAAACTGGTGATGAGCTTAGACCAGTGTTGCAAACTATATTTTTGGGTTTTGATTGGCAGTGTCAATTCTGAATATTTATTTTCCTGCTATGTTACAGCAGGTGTCTTTACAGTGAAAAATTCTACCAGGCTGTGTCCACATGTCTTAATTTTTATACTACTGTATGCAGAGCTGTGTACAGCAATTGGAGTTATCTTCCTTCACTTTAATTACACATGTAGTTGCCTCTTAAGGGTTTGTATTCCTTCAAATTCAGCCAGTTTGCGTGTGTACTGTCCAGTACTTTCCATGCTAGTCTGTTTTCACTCTGTTGTAGCACACAGTGATACAAGTGTGGACGTGGACCAAAGTAAAGTTCCAGGTGTACCCATCATTCTTGCATTCCCTAATTCCTGAAAACTTGTATTACAACCTCAAAGGACTTCTATTTGTAATTTATTACATTATTTAAGAATATATACCAATTCTGGTATCTAACAGCTTACTGTCCTGTTCAGAGATGAGTGTCTGTGCACTTCAGTCTCTAATTCTTTCCTAGAGAAGAGTTAAAATCAATATGCCTTTGATGTCACAATCTAACTTACAGTGAAGTAAGGAAATGTAGTTCAAAATGTAAAGAGAATAAAATTGTGTTGATTTTTTTTTTTAACCAAAAGTGGGTTTTTGCTTGACAGCCAGCTGTGGATAAATTCAACTCTTCCAGTTGTTCTTGACGATTAATATGCTGTGATTGATGCTGCAATATTTGTTTTTAGTAATTCTAAAAATGACCCTTTGAACTTTTTAAAATCCTCCATGGTAGTTAAGTAACAAATACTCTTAAGTAATATGATAAATCTGTTTAATTCATCCCAAATGAGAGATAATTGTTGATAGCATCCTGTGGGGTTGGCTTGCGTACAGGAGATTTGAGTACTGTCTACTGGATGCTGTTCAAAACTATTGTCTAATTTTAATATCTTTTTTTTCTTGGTACTTTGCCTGTGTTTGCAGTCTCAGTGGAGGGAGGATGTGATATCCCTCATGTATTTATTGTGAAGTACTGCTTCTGATTTGAGACAGTAGTAGCCTTCTGACTAACCAAGGGAAGCAAGGGTAAGGCTTTGAGAAAAAGGCAGTTAAATAGGATAGAGAAGGAAGGGGAAACTGTAACAGTGGTAAAAATATAAAAATAAGAATGAAGCTGCTCACCACCCACTGACGGATGCCCAGCCTGTCCCTCACAGTGGGCTGCTGCCCCTTGCCCAATTTCCCCCAGTTTTGGTGTTCAGCATGACTTCCTGTGACGTAGGACATCTTTTGGTCAGTTGGGGTCAGCTGTCCTGTCTGTGTCCCCTCCCAACGTCTCGTGCACCCCCAGCCCACTCACTGGCAGGGCAGCACGAGGAGCAAAGTCCTTGACTTAGTGTAAGGACTACTCGGCTACAACTGATGTACATTGATGTGTTAGCAGCCTGATCATCATCCTGAATCCGAACCAGCTCTGGACCAGCTACTAGGAAGAAAATTAACTCTATTCTAGACAAAATTAGGGCATACTAGAAGTTTAATGTCCCCGTCCAGAGTCTGAGATCCCCTTTTTCACAGTGTCATGGCTCAGTCGTGTTTTTTGGCTGGTTTCATTCACGTCATCCCATCGCTCAGGGGGATTTGTGCAGGCATTTGGAGTCTGACCAATGGCTCGTTGATTTCAGGAGGACTCCATTACGGATCTTTGACTTGTCTGCCTCTGTTCGAATCTGTTGTCTGAAACCCCGATTGTGAAATCAGGGGGAACGGAACATGATGTTGTTCATGATTCATTTAAGCTAAAATGAACAACATGAGCCACTTAAACTTGTCTAGGCACTGAAATATATGTTTGGATTTACATAATTTCAAGGCCAAAAAATTAGTAAATATGTTGTTTTGGGAGCAGAGCCTTGGAATGGGAGATTAAAACTGCCCTTAAGCTCTAAAAGGCATTTTAAACAGTTTAAAATGCTTTGCAGCTTTTACTTTCTAGTGAATATGAGGCAGGGGCTTGGACCCTGCTTGCTTTTTCTTTCTTCATGTCATAAATATTCTCTCCTAGAGCATGGAAAATAAGTCAATTACACTTAAAACTGTTTATTGCAGAGCAGATGTGTGCATACAGCAACTGTAGCTGAAAGCCCAAGTATTTAATTAGCAGTTGCCTGCAGCTGGATTCTTTCTTTTTAAATAAGTGGGGAGGTGGGGAAACATAAAAGGATGTCAGGAGACGTTCTGCTGACAGTGAGTAAGTTCATGTGTAATTACTTATTAAAAGTCTTGCTCTACCTCCCTACTCAGAGCCATCACATGGTGGTGCTGCCATTTTGTTGTGCTGTGCAGCCATCCGTGAATTCCGTGTCCTCACTGACCTGATACCTGTGCTGCCTCATTCCAGTAACATTTGATTGGAGGGATCTTGTGCATCTTGTGCTTATCTGTTAGTTTTGTTGTAGATGTTTCCTCTGCAGTTGTTGAGAGTTTGCCATTGATTTGAAGGCTGAAGATTTCTGCTGCAGTCAGAGCTGAGAGTCTGGAAATAGCTTCCTCATGGGTAAAATGTATGGGTTTGCT